TGCTCAGCACGTGTCCTGCACTGACAACGGTCGGTCGTTTCATCACTCAACTGGAGGCTTTCAAGCAGCCAAAAGGAGAGTTATGAACATTCGATCGGAATCTTTACAGGGGGCTAGTAGCTAGTTGGGAGTTGGTTATCCGAGATCACAGCTGTGACAGATTATTGATGATACTTCCTACTGTCTGGCACATAAGCTAGCTGACAACTGACAAGGCTCAGCTAATGCATACCCCAACGGCACGGGTCTTTGCAGACTGCTTGGTATTTGATGGTCTGGTGGTTTTTATGAGTGCCTGGTCTCTTGTTCTGATGGTCAATGGCCGACCTGAAGAATGTCGTCACTGCAGCAATCAGAGCCTTCAGAAGTCTTTTGGTATCGTTGCCGACGTTTTTTTCTTTTTTAGGTTTCCTTTGATGCAAAGCATTGGCTTTTGGGAATAGTCTTTAATAAATGAATAGTTTTTTTAAGAATGACTTTTACTAATGTCTTTATTTGCACTGAAAATAAATACTTTTTTTTTTTTCTAAATCACTTAAGTTACTATATTGAAGATATGCGCAGCATCAGAGCTGTACTAATGCCCAATGGACACAGTCACACCCTTATTACACATCGTTGATCAACTTAACACTGAGAAGCTCATAAGGATCCAAGCTACAGAGGAATTAATGAATGCAAAAACATTTAAATAACACAATAAAACACTCGGTTGCTGGACAGCTATTGTCAATAGACTAAGCACAAAGTTAGGGTATATCAAGGCTTTTGCTTTTTGAAAGAAGATGTAATACTATAAGTGAATAGTATGATTCTACTGATTTGGTAGAAAATATCCAAATGTTGTCAGGTAAAAGAGAGACTATATGTAGATGTTATATGTTCAAAGGTTCTACTTGTAATGTAAATCCAGTTTTATTACTTTTTAAAAGCAAAACAGTCAACATACTATGAGCAATGTATAAATATCCTCAATGCATTATTCAACCATGATTGCTGATAGAGCCTATAGAGTGATAGGGCATAAATAAAGTCGTTGTTCAAAGCACATTTTATAAATTACATGCCATTTTGAGTTGTAGCATTCAAGTATAAATCGAATTATATAATACATTTTTTGTTTGAACAGCCTTCAGCTTCCTTTCAAAAAGAGCATTTTGCAGTTTGAGAGGGAGTATTACCTTTTTTGGATTTTGCAGTACCCTTAGTATTACCCTATTTATTATATATTACACTATTTCTAGAAAGGGATGTCGCGCTGGCTTGTCGCTTTTTCGTATGAATTATATTATAAAAACTGTAAAAATGCGACTTTACTTTCTGAAAAGACAATATGATGAAATCAATATACCGACGTCTATTTATGCCTCAAACTATATAAGATTCATTGTCATTCCTTATGAGTATGTATCCTCTACGTCCTTCGGTTCCTCCAAACCTAGCCTTCATCTGGTCTCAGCGATTGCCGTTTATATGCTTGTACCCCTACAGGAAATTTTTCGCTAACATTCACTTTCAAACGGATTGAACGACGTTTGTTGTATTATTTTATTTTTGCGCTCATTTGGACCATATATAAAACACCACGTTTAAACAAAAAATGTAGATCATATACTTTACTGTAAGAATATCAAGTATTATAATCTTTTATAAAACATGTCAAACATGCAATCTTTGAAGCAGAAGCAAAGCCGGATTTTTTAGATCATTTTGATAGCAGGTCTCTATATCTTTCATATCTTCAAATTGTTTTCTACAATCTTTATTTATTTTATTGTACTCCACGCAAAACATTAGATCAAGAGCTTGAGCTCCTGATATTAACGTTTCAATTGAAAGAAAAATAAAAGAAAAGAAAAAATGTTTTTATCATGTGCTTATGATCAAACCATACTTCCTTGTACCGTCTCTATTACCATCTCTGTATTCAGAAAGAAGTTACTTTATTCACAAAGTTTTTCCTCATGTCCAGAAAAAAAAGATATCTCATCTTGTTTATTACCTAATTTTCAACCCCAAGTCGTCCCAGATAAAAATTCAACAGTCTCATTTGAGGTTAAAATGCTGTATCTTTTCTTTACAAAATGGTATCAACTGACGATCATAGCAACGATGCAAAGGAACTTGAAGTTATGTTGTCAAGGATACAAAATATCATTGTTGATTGTAACACATGGATACACACTACGATGTAACCCAGGTTATAATTTTTTTTTTTCTTCTCCTTTCTTTCTAGATGTTCAAAAGGGTCAGGAACAATTAGTACCAGTAGTTAATTACCATACACCGGAAGAACTATATAAGCTCTTTGACTTTACTTTACCAAATAAGGGCGTTGGTTTAGAGGGTATGTCAAGTCATTAGAAAAAGTATAAAGGAGAACTGACGCCCTGTTATTAGGGATATTTAAAACTATTAACTCAACCCTTGAATACAGCGTGAACTCATGGAATCCTCGTTTTTTGGATAAACTCTATGCTGGAACAAATCCAATTGGTGTCATATCTGAACTGCTACTAGCCGTATTAAATAGCAATGCACATGTATTTCACGTTTCGCCTGTACTCAGCCTTATGGAGGTCGAAGTAACAAAAGCAATTGGGCAGTTATTAAATATGGGCGAGGTAAAAAGCAAAAGATAAATATAAAGAAAAGAAATAAGGCTTATATTTGTACGAAGAAAGCAGGAGGCATACTCTGTCCTGGTGGCTCAGCTTCTAATTTGTTAGCGATGATTACTGCTCGAAATAAGTTGTTCCCAAGCATTAAAACGGAAGGATATTTCCCACGTCCTTTTCACCCGCAATCCAAATATGGAAAATTAAAAGTGTTTACATCCATACATAGTCATTATAGCATTGATAAAGCAGCTCAAGTGCTTGGTTTAGGCCTCGATAACATAGTTAAAGTACCTGTTGATCACGAGGGAAAAATGCAGGTGGATGAATTGGGTAAGTGATTCATGCTATAAAAAAGAAGTCTATTTTCAAACATTATTTATAGAGAAGCTCATTGAGCTGAGTATTCAAAAGGATGAGACACCTTTTTTTATTAATGCAACAGCAGGAACAACAGTACTCGTAAGTTGAAATTTACAAAACCGCTCTTAACTCGTACACACACATATATACACTTTCGTGAAACAGGGAGCGTTTGATCCGATCAAGGATATAGCGACGATAGCCAAAAAGTATCATTGTTGGCTTCACGTTGACGGTTCGTGGGGAGGAAGTGTAGCATTTTCAGACAAGATGATGAAAACGACAACTTGGCTAAAAGGATCAGAACATGCCGATACATTCACTCTCAATCCACACAAATTACTTGGAGTTCCTTTACAGTGCTCTATGCTTTTGACTCCACATGAAGGACACTTGCTATTTGCAAAATCCAACTCATCTCAGGCAGATTATCTATTTCACGGCAATGAATATGACATCGGAGCAGGTACCATCGGCTGTGGCAGGAGACCTGATGCAACCAAGATGTTTATGGCATGGAGGTATTATGGAAAGGATGGATTAGGAGGGCGCGTTGATAAGGCATTAAGCCTCGCTAGTCAGTTCACAAGCATGGTCAGAGAGCGCAAAGGGTTCAAGTTGGTTCAGGATCCAAGTCCGTTCTTACAGATTTGTTTTTGGTTTGTGCCACCTACTATCGAAAAACATGTTGAAAGTCTCAAAGGCAAGGAATACAGTCTTTGTTTGTCAAGAATAACAAGGCACTTGCATCAGCAAATACGAGAAAAGGGGGAGTTTTTGGTGGATCATTCACCATTAGAAGGCATACCCGATTTCTTTAGAGTAGTTATTAATGCTCCTACCTTAAGCCTGCATCGTGACCTAGAAAGACTCCTAGATGTTATTGAGGAGGTAAATGCATCTGTTGACTGGAGTGAACTTTTATAGAAAAAAATTCATTGTTCAAATGACTCTTTGAAATTCAGAACACAAAGAAAAGCATAAACCCTATTTTTATTCTTTTTTTCTTTTTTTTTTTTTTTACCAATTTATTTCCATGACAGCGCCATCTATACTATGTAAAGTAAGGGCACTCTATGCCTTTGAGTCTGACGATCCATCTTCCCTAAGATTCAATGAAGGGGATTGCATTAACGTATTCTATAAACTACCCTCTGGATGGTGGGACGGCTGGTAAAAAGTCAACCTTGTATACCCAAACAATCAATGAAAACCTTATTCGTGTTTAGGTGTAATGGACAACGGGGATGGTTTCCTAGCAACTATGTTGAGGTGATTGAGGACTACTGCGATACAGATTTTGTATGCTACAACGTTGCTTTTATTACTACATTATTTACTCTTCTTTAATTTAGAATAACACGGCATTGCATCAAGATGAATTACTTCAAAAGGATTGTAATTATTACTCAAACAACCAACTACAACAATTCCCTGTCTACTATGAAGAAGGATCAGCTTCGACTATCGAGAGATCAACTTCAGCAAATGATTTGACTGATATGCGACATAAAAGAGTAATAGCAAAGGACATTATTGCATATCAACAGTAATAACTTATTCACTTTACTATAGTGGTGCATGTCTTTACCAGCTTACAGCCCATGGCAACAACAGGAAATGACACAAGTAAAGAAACAAAATTATTCGATAATTTTCTCCTTTTGCATTAATTTTTTTTTATTCACAGCGGGAAAAATTATTAAACCGTCCATTGTCATTAAGCATCGATTATAACGAATTGATATCTTATAAAAAGCTACTTGTTGACATCACTTTGGCCATCAACAACCTTGTGACAGCAACCAGAAACAGTCAAAGCTATAATCTACATACAACACAAGTTGTCAATACAGTTCGCAACATGATGATAGCGACGGGTACTGTCACCAAAGAGTCGATCAACATCAAATCAGATAGTCTATTAAGATCACATCATAGACACTTGATGAGCATACTATCAAGACTAATATTCTCTGCTCAGACAAGAGATGCGACAAGACTATTCATCGAGTCACAGGACCTGTTATCTACCGTTCGAAATTACGTCCATCTTTGCGAGAGTATGGGCATTGAGCTTCAACATGTTGATCCAATATTGCTCTCTGACTGGAGTTACAGACGACAAAATTCGATTCAATCAAGGTATCAGCTTGTCCCCGATTTGATTGATAATGTGATTGCCTGTGGTAATGCCATGCAAGAATCGATGAAATCTTTTATAGCGCACCTCGGTTGCTCCTCCGATACAAATTCACTTATTGTACTCTTATTTACTCATTATCGTAATATTGTTAATCAAAATGGACAGTTTTTGTCTATTATTGAAGACGTCGACTTTCAATATGTCTCCCATTCGCCCCGCATGAAAGAACTCGCATATTCTAAACAAAGGTTGTACACTGCACTTGGCACCCTCTTCATCAAGATACAGTCCATGACAGAAGATGGAGATGAATGCATAACTGAAAACATGAAACAGACCGCCCATTCGATTATTGAGGCGATTCAAACAATCTGTAAAGTTATATCAGAGCTTTTGGCTGAGCAGAGCAGTGTAACTCATATTGATGAAGCAAGCAGTAATAATCAGGTCAAGACAAACGGAAACAATCTGATGCTTTTATCGGATACCTCAAGTCACAGTAGCAGTCGCAGCAGCTTAATTGAGCCAGCATCGAGTGAACAAAAGCCTCATGCGGTAGATCTCTTTCATGATTATTCTTTAGATAGTCAAATATCGCTTCGCTCGTCTGATACATTAAAGCACTTTAGCCTAGAGGATAAGGCAACCCTAGATATCACACCGCCCAACGAGAATGACGAGGAGCCGCCAGTATATAAAGCGAATGAACACGACAGTGATAGCAACATAGCGTCTCGAAAGGTTTCGATCCTGACGGCAACTACGCAAAGCTCTAGGACAGCCACTGTCGAATCCGAGCCAGAATATCTTCGTTACGACTATGCACCAAGCGAAATTGTGTTTGCTACAGACGGTAGCGTCAAAGGTGGCACACTCCGCGCTCTTGTCGAACGTATGACTCTACACGATTATCTCGATATGAACTTCAACACTACCTTTTTACTCACCTACCGCTCCTTTTGCACATCACAAGAATTCCTAGGTCTACTCAAGACACGTTACAACATTCAACCTCCCGACGGCCTGACGCCTGAGGAGTATGAGGTGTGGGTCAATAAAAAGCAAAAGCTTGTCAGACTCCGCGTCTTTAACGTTCTTAAGATCTGGCTAGAACAATACTATTATGAAGATGATTCAATCATTCTGGACCAGTTACTTGAATTTACCAATACAACACTCAAGGATACACTTAGCTTTTCAGCCTTCCAACTGGAAAAATTAATATCCAAGCGTAAAGAAGCCTGTACGACAAGTCTCAAAAAGCTAGTGATGACCCAATCGATCAATGCACCGGACCCAATACTGCCGCGTAATCTCAAAAAATTCAAGCTGCCCGATATTGATACAACAGAGATGGCGCGTCAATTGACACTGATTGATTACAAGCTGTACAGCTCCATACGTCCTATTGAGTGCTTGGATAAGGCATGGTCCAAAGACCTTCAAGAGAATGGTGTACCGATTGCAGCCAACATACAAGCATCAATCCATTACTGCAATCAAATCACGACCTGGGTCTCTGATGAGATCCTTAGTCAGCCAGAAGTCAAAAAACGCAGCATGCAAATCAAGTATTGGGTCAATGTCGCGGAGAAATGCCGACAGTTCAACAACTTTAATACCTGTATGGCCATTTTATCCGCCTTTGATAACAGTGCCATCGGAAGGCTCAAGCGAACATGGGAATCCGTTGGGGCAAGAACACATCATATCGTTGCACACATCCGCAAGCTGATGGGGGCCAATCGTAACTTTGTTCAGTATCGTGCGCTCATCCACTCGGTTAATCCGCCCTGTATACCCTTCTTAGGCATATACCTTCAAGACTTGACCTTCATCGAGGATGGAAATCCAAACTTCTTGAAGGGATCTAACCTAATCAATTTTGCTAAACGAGCTAAAACGGCTGAAGTGATACGAGAAATTCAGCAATATCAATCAATAGGATATCCGTTTAAGCCAGTAGAGGAGATCCAAGGCTTTATTTGGGAAAACCTTCATAGTTCAAGAGATGAGGATCAACTATACAACGAGAGTTTAAAGCTAGAACCAAAGTAAGTTCTTTTTCATGTATAAATCGCTTGGATTAGTATTAATCTTGTTTCATAGGGAAAGAGGTGATGAAAAGATTACACGATTATTACAAGAGTCAGGATTCTTGTAAAGAATAATTTACTATATTTTATTATGAAACATCTTGTCTAAGAATGAAAATAAACCATACGAATCTTGATTATCTTGCTGCTGTTCTTCAGGTTGTCTTTGTTGTTGTTGCTGTTGTCTTGACAAAGCAATCGATTTTAAATGATGATGACGATGTACAATTTGCCTTTGTTCAAGATGAGGAATATAAGTCTGTTCTTGTTGCTGTGTTAATAACAAACAGCGGGATAAGCTGAGCTTCATCGGGTCTTGATATCTTTTTATGCATTTATACTCTCTACCCACCAACTCTAATTCTTTGTTTAGTTTTTGCATATTCTTTGGGTGAAATGGACTCGTCTCATCCTCTATTTGCGCTTGTTGTCTCTGAAGCATTAGTTTTTGTTGTGTTCTTGACATACGTGTCATTTGAAGTGGTGAATTACTGATGATATTTTCATGAGAATTGGATCGTTTGGGTGGTGAATTACTTTCAGTGGAGGAAATGAACTGTGATTTAAGTAATTGCTTCTTGTTTATGCTGGGCTCATTACTATTATTACTGTTATTATTTGTAGAGTAGGAAGATATCTTGGGCACAACAAGGTTATTGGCTACTGCATTAAATGTTTGTTCTACGGGTGCTGCAACTGCTGTATGACTTAGCGGTACTGGGTTTTTGTTGTCAATTATTGCTGTTGTTGTTGGTTGAGGGTTGTCTGTGCTGTTATTTATAGCTGTAAAATTATCCAAGGTTGATTGTTTTATAGAAGCATTTGAAGACTTTCTTCTTGCTGTAAATCCTGTCAAAGCCTTTCTATCTGTAGATAATCTATGTAGCGATCTTTGTGATTGACTACGACGCATAACTGGTCTATTATTACTTTCATTATCTTCCACTTCAGCTTCTGTATCTGTATGTGCGGCGTTATTGCTCACTCTGGCCATGGGCGCTAATTTGTTAACATGAACCCTTCCACTTGAACGCCTTTTGACATGGTGACGAGTGTACTGCTTTTTATTGTGTTGCTTTTCTGCTGCTCCAGCAGTTGTTGTTGTCGTTGATGGCTCTTCTTCTCCCATAACAAACTTATTTTCCTTCATTGACTATGAAATACAAATTTTTCGAAAAAAGAGATTCGTACATTTTATATTTTAAATTCCGAATTAAATGGGTCTGAGTTTATTAGTGCTGCTATTTTGACTTTAAAAGTTAAATTGCCACCACAATGAAGTAATCTGCCAATTCTGTAGTCAAGGTTGACCATGATTTATCCTCCCAATGAAAAATATCAAGGTCATTCTCTTAGAGCTCTCTTTTCTTTTGGTATTGCTCATGAACTCATTGCTGTGGTGACTGGCTTTAGAAGATAACTCAGGAAATGTCTCCTGAAGAAAGCATAACCTTTTCGTTCAACACCAACAAGCAATCAGGGAATCGACATATCTAGGCCCCCATCTCCTATCTGGACACTCTACGTTCATGTATATGAATAGGATAGGGCTGTTGCCTTGTGTCTCCTCAAATTTTGTCTCAGAAAAAAAATCCACATAGTCTTAGTTCCTGTATTTTTTTTTAAAATTGGTTTTTACATGTCAAGTAAAAGAGATTTTGAAATTGGCAATTTGCCTGAAGGATTGAACGTCTGCATTTCAGAAGGGGCGCCCAAGCATTTAAACACATATTCCTTGGGATTAAAACAAGATATAGACAAGTTTGGCCTTGCTGGTAAAATATGGCAAAGGTAAGACACAAGGGAAGAAAGAAGCGAAGTGTTGACAGACATGTAGTGCTTATACACTACAAGCATTATTTTCTCTTGATACCCGATCAGCTCTAGAGCCATCTCATCCTATCCCAGAAAGCTACTACTCAACTTGTACAGAACCAGCACCTAAGGAAACCTATAGAATACTAGAACTAGGGGCAGGGACAGGCTATGTAGGTATTGCGTTAGCCAAACAACTAAGACGGCCATGTCAAGTGTATATTACAGACTTGGAACAGGTTGTTCCTTTAATACAAGAGAACGTCAACATGCACTATCGTCCTACAGAGAACGCGGCAGAGGTGATCGTAGAGAGGCTACATTGGGGAAACAGACAGGATAGTGAGAGATTATTGGCATTGGCTGGTGGTCATTTTGATCTTGTCGTCATTAGCGATTGTGTGTACTTTCCAGAGTTATTTGAATTACTGCTTTCTACTGTTTTGGATGTATGCGACATGTCAACCAAGGTTGTCATTGGATACAAGTGTCGTTCGCTTGAGAAAGAGATAGGCTTTTGGCAAGACTATTTTGGAAGATATTTCGAATATGAGCCAGTTAGAAAAATAGAAACTGATGACGAAGGCAGTAAAGAAGTGGGTGATTTCTTGGGGGCAGAAGAGCAGTTATTCGTATTTATTGCAACTAAAAGGAGAGAAAATGAGGTTAAGATGGCAGACGATACGTTTACTACTCTGTTATTTTGCTCAATGGGATTATGAATAAATGTCTCAAGATATGATACATATTGTATAGCTTTATTCTTTAAAGACTCCATTTTCTTCATCGCTCTTGATTCTTTCTGCAACAGCATAGTCGTCCTTGAAGGCCCATACTTGTCCTTTGGAAAATAACTAGTCAAAAATTGGTTATTTTCTATTTAATAGGTTATCTTTTTTTTCTTCTTACTGCATCTATTTCTTCAAGTGACCTTCCTCGTGTTTCTGGTAAGAACACATAGGCAAATACACCCATAATAACGGCCATAGCGCCAAAAAAGAAATATGTGCCGTATGTGATATTGGTCATCATGATGGGTGTCACTTTAGCTAGTGTGGCGTTCATGGCCCAGTTAAATGCAGTCGTGATAGAGAGAGAAATGGCACGAAGTCGTGTAGGGTATATCTCTGAGCAGACAATCCAGACAATAGGTCCCCAAGAGCATTCATAACTATCAAATTGTTAATTATGATATTTCATTGCAGAATGAACAATTACCCTATAGCAAATATATAGATGCAAACCATTGCAATATAGCCCTTTGCGCCAACGACAGCACCTGGAGCACCCAAGTGACCGTTATTGTCTCTTTCGAGGCCCAGAATCATACCACCAAGGACAAAGAAAGAGACCATCATGATGACAGAACCCATCATGAGTGTATGTCTACGGCCAAGTCGGGTATCAACAAAGAAGAAGGTGACAAATACAAAGGCTACTTTTACAGCACCATAGACACCTGTAGCTAAAATTTCAGTTTCATTGCTATCAAGGCCAATTGATTTGAAGATGTCGGGCCCGTAATAGTTCTAAAGAAGAAGAAGTTTGTCTTTTTTTTTTTTCTGCTTATAAATTGTCTGCTACTTACAATCGCGTTACTGCCTGTCCATTGCTGGAAAATTTGAAGCATGATGCCAATAAATAAACGATGGAGATTTTCGCGTTGAAACAATTCAGTCCATTTGCCTGATTTTGCTTGCCTGTCTAGTTCAGCCGCATCTTCAATTTCTTTTAATTCTTGTAGAATCTCGGGATGATCGGCAGGTAAATCACGTAATCTGCATAAATTCTTTAATACATCATCTGTACGTCCATGCTGGGCGAGCCATCTGAGTGATTCGGGTAAGAAGACCATACCAATACAAAGAATACCTCCTGGGGCGATTTGTATACCAAGCGGTACTCTCCATTGTGTATTGCTTACAGGGATATGGCGCAAGCATCCATAGTCAACCCTAGAGAGCAGACAGGTGTTTAGAATGTTTTTTTTTTTTTTTTTTTTTTTTTTTTCGCTATATTCAATTTCTTACCAGTAAGACAACATGATACCAATGACAATAAGAAATTGCCATAGAGTACCTAATCGGCCTCTTAATTTACGAGGCGCAATCTCTGCAACATACATTGGAACAAGCATAGAGCATGCACCAATGCCCACTTTTATATAAAAAGGGATATTAGAAAAGAATGTATTTAGCTGCGATTAACTTACTGCCACCAAAGAAACGACCAGCTAACATAGTTTCAAGATTTTGTGCTGCCACTTGTAGAATAGAGCCAATGATGAACACGAACGAACTCAAGACAATGGTCCATCGACGTCCGAGAGGATCTAAATTTTAATTTAGCAAAAGCATGTAGATAATGTAAGTAGAATGAAGCACGTTACCAGCAAGGAAATTTACTAATAATGCTCCAGCACAACAGCCAGCTTGTAATAAGGATACAATATTTCCTTTCATTGTAGCTACTGTCGCTGGATCACCTTGCATCCCAAAATAGGGTGGAAATGTTGGCATGGCTAGCACACCCGAGATGACACCTTGGATTATATAATTAGCAATTATGATTATTTTCTATTAAAGTCAATATTACCAATATCATAACCAAATAAGAAACCACCAATACAGGAAATAGTTGTGGCAATCAATGACAAGTGTTTCATTTAAAAAAGGTATTAAAATGTACAAAATAGGTAGAGATGATGTTTATATAATATATTCTTTTGCTTCCCTCCTTCTCCTTTCTTTCAAAAGGGATTGAAATGAAGGGGTTATTTATAGTTGATTTACTTGTATTGCATAAATTCAAGTCATATGAATCCGTACAATTCGTAATTTATTCAACGAAAAAAATCTCCTGAACATCAAATAATCCTCCGGGGTGACCCTCAATCTATCCCCTTAGATGTTTACTTTAATCCAAGCACATCTTTAACATTTAACTTTTTACTCTTTAGTTTCATCCCACAGCTTTATTCACTTGATCTTTTCTTTATGTTTGCTTCCTTTTTTCTTTTTAAAATGTGACACCTTACCCCATAATGTTCACTTTCCTATTTTTATTGCTTGTAAGACGACAAGTAGATTTTACCTTTGGTTTTCCCACAGCAATCGAATGATGAGAAATCGGAATCATGGCAGCTTTACTTTACTCTTTTCATTATTACTTGAGTACTTAAAGTCTTTGTTATTTTGAATCATTTAAATAATAGCTGCATCTTTTATCCTTTTCCCCTCTTGTTTGTTTTCTTCAATTGCATTATGTACAAATCACAAATCAATGTACCACTTGACCTGTTACTACCCCAGGTTTTCCCGCCATCTGGTTTCCTGAAATGGTGATTCGAACAAGGGAGATAATATCACTGATGAAAAAGCTACTTTTTTTATCCAATAAGGTTATATGCAATAACATGTTCTGATTGTATTCTCATCTAGTGCAATGTGTCTACTTATAATAAAGTAGTTTTTGACTATATAAACCTTTTCTTACAAGTTGAGTCTAATTGAATATCCTATTTTTTTTTTCTTACACAGTCTTTACTTTCGCTGCTTTACTCTGCCCTAAAGGGAGATGAACTTTCTATACAGTCGTTCCAACGCCAAAGGGTGGTTTTTACTATCTCAAAGGACGGGTTTCTTTTCCCTGAAGTTCGATATCTTTGGCAATCTTTATTTATTGAGTATTGATTTTAATATGGTCCTCTTTTAAACGCTTTTCAAAAACGTTCACAGAATGCTGTACAAACGCATGTAGATAATTGGAAGGCAGCTAGGTTCTCCTTGTCCTCAAACCTACTACGCTTGACTTTGTTCTTAACTATTATCCAAAATTGCTCGATTGAGTTGAGTTCTGGGAAACAGGATGGAAGATAGATAGGCTTATAGCCTCTCCTAGTTATAAGTTCATCTATTTCTTTAGCGGTGCGAATACAGTGTGAATAAATGCATTATCCACAACTATGTAATGGCCCTTCATCTCAGAGAGACAGTATCTCATCCATAGTTTTCTCAAGAAATACAAGGTAATGGCCAGTAACAGTACCTTTAAACATAGGCTTTTTGTTACTAGGTGACGCTTTTCTTTTGCGATTGCAAAAATCAATCTTGACGCGTTCGGACCATTCCTCTTGAGGGTTTCGAAGCTCCGTGATGGATACAGCAAATTTAGAAGAAATGGCGCCCAAAATAATATGAGATACTGCTCTTGTAGAGGGAGCGTTTACAATAGCTGGTCTTCCTTTTTCAGCTCAACCACCTGAAGGTCGCATGTTGATATTGAAAGCAGATTCATCTATAAAAACGCAGTTTTCTAGATAATCCATATCTGTTGCAGTCCATTGTTTGACCCAAGCCAGTCGATTACCAATCTTGGTACTGTTGTTTTATTGGAATCAATGTATTCAAAAAGAATTGGGATTGAAATAGTCCAAGTAAAATATCATTCGTCTAGAAAATAGCATGTCTATCTAAAAAATTGAAAATCATACAATAAGAAAACATAGTGATATATACAGGCTATATATCTTATCTTTGATTACTATTTAATTGACTGTTTTTGCATCTTTTATTTGAAAATGCTCTTTATTACAGCTAACGAAAATAGGGCTGGGACAGAAGAAAAAAAATTAGGCCAATTAAAAAAAGATTTGGGATGCCTGTTTGAATATGGGACATTCTTTTGAGAATAGGACAACACATCGAAAAATAGGACATTTATGTTTTTATTCACTGCTAAACCTCCATAATTTCAGCATTACATCAATACATTTTTTTTTTGCAGCAATTCTTTGTTTTCTTGATATTTCAAGGAAGTTCAGATCACTGCGAGATCAATGGTAAATCGTATAAAAAAAATGACGTCTTTAAAAAATGAATATA